GTTGCAGAGCTAAATACTGCAGTTATTTCCCATGTGACAAATCTAATGAATGAATACATACCTTCCTGATATAGCAGTAGCTCATTTAACATGTTCTACATTTGGGAGACACGATATGACATACCGATGTTGGGCGCTTATTTTTATTTTATGACATGAGAAGGTGGAGAACGTATGTTAAAATCTATTTGCTATGCTAAACATATGTCAGAAAGCGAAATTGGGCCTGCTATTCAAAAAATACTCGCCGAGTCGAGTTTTTGCGGTCTTAGAGCGGTCCCAATCTCCGCCAGCCCGCCATCAACCCGCCATCAGCCTGCTGGTGCCACAAAGCTGCGACTACCTGAGTTTCCGGCTCTTGAGTGCCCAATGAGGTCACAGCATCAATTTCGCTTTTGGGGGTTATTCCTGGCTCAATTCATCCCCTCTCCTTTGTCCAATGGACTCCAAACCTTCTAGCATATGTACCTATACTTGTGTAGAGCAGTTCTGCGGAGTTTAGAGCGAATATAACCACTGTATAATATACTATGCTTTTATTTCTATTAAAAATCGATTTTTTCGGCCTAGAAGTAGCAGGAAACCCTTTCCAAAGCTTTTACAGCTCTTCCAACGTTATAAAATCATAATAGATCGCATTAGAACCCTTTCCAAGAGTTTGGGGAGCCTGAGGCACCCACAAACTCTCTGTAGAGCCTGCGAGGCTTGGCAGAAAAAATGGCACATATCAAAGGTTTTGATATGCTGGAAGGTGTTGTTTATGGCTTAGGATGAGACGGTGATAGTTCACTTTCGATCCCAAGCCCTGGAAGTTGAAGTTGACCGATTGAGCAGATCTTGGTGTTTTCTATGGACACCTATTTGCTGATCTCATTGAAACACCTCTTACTGCCTATGAAAATGGGGGTATAGAACTTTATAGGTCCAGGGGACATGTATTGGTGGAGCCGTGCATTAGTTAACCCCGGAGTGACACCTTGACCAGTTCAAAACCACCATCTGTGCACAGGTGTGTGCCTGGCTCCTACAGCATAGGTGGGAAGGGGATCACCATCTGGGAGGGTTATAACATGTTTGAATACTATGTATGTAGCTGGATTTAGCTTGTCTCTGCCTGTAGGCTTCTGTACATCTGCATATGTGGTGTTTTTAAGCCCTGTTTGCATACCCATGTTATTGAATGTAGTTCAGCCCTTTCCCAGTATGCTAAGGCTCCACAGAGCTGTACATGTTATCTACTAGTGTTAGAGCACCTGCATAACCATTTGTACCTAGCTACATCCATTACTAAAGGCTGAGAACAGTGGGCAAGCTACCATCAGTGCAATAAAGGTTCTGACCTCCTGACTGCATCTCTGCATGTTATTCTGGCCTCAAAATTGCTTCCCCACACTTTAATAACATGTATATATATGTCTGGAGCCATCCGACGTTCTTTCAAGATCTATACAAGGTACAGGACCATCTGTTTCTGGTGCCCTTTTTCGCTTTAAAGATTATTTATTATCTATTATAATGTATACATCACAGGAAGACATGAGGGTTGAGTTCTACACTACACAAGTATAGTAGAACCTATTTCAACACTTGCCCTGACAGTTCTATGAGGGGGAAAGGAAGGGGTGCAGGTGCAATAGCCTGCAGAAGCTGGTTTCCCACACTACCATATATATCCAAAAACTCGCCGGCTTCCGGCGAGTTTTTTGTGAATAGCAGCCCAAATACTGAATTGCTGGGCTGCTTACTAATGGAGAACTTGTTTGTACATATGTTCTCCATGACATGATGTAAAAACATTCAACATGTGGCATGTTCAAAACATAGTATGTTTTAAAGTGCTTTACCATACTGGGATGATGTTTTGGCTTAGTCATCTTTTCAGAAAAGTGGTATATACCATATGTAGTCTAATTTCAAGCTCAGACACCTTTATTTGGACTATTGCAGTCTAAAACAGTTGCTACCTGGGTTACTACTATATCATGTTTCACAGCTTGTAGCAATTACTCACATATCAAGCTTTAAACCTGGGCTAACACATCATGAGGCAACGTTCAACAAAGCAATGTTCACTAACTTGGATAGCGTCAGAGATGTTAGGATAATAAGTATGCATGCCTTTGTATACTGTAGTTGTGATAATAGTTGGTGTTGCACGCTGCGTGAAGCCGTAAGTTACACGCTGCATTGTAGGTGATCCCCACCTACCTCTACAGTATAGATGGCCCAAGGTAGCAGGAAGGACACCTTTGTCCAAGGTATACAGTATTACCAGTTGTCACTGAGACTTCTTGAGCACAGAACTAGAATCACAGTCTTTGTTTGCACAGAAGTGATGAGAAGGGAAAAACCAAGTTCCTGCTGTTGAACGATCAGTGCCACACTACGATAGGAGAAAAAGAATAATGTACTGAGGCCTTCTCAAATTCACAAATGAAGCCTGTATGCATTGCAAGGATCCTTCCCTAGCTGTGTGACGTATTGTTTGTCCCAGACAAGAAATCTGAGGGTGCCCCAGCACTGCCGGACAGCCAGTTCGTCAAGCTTGGTGGATAGTGCCAGGAATTGGATGATCTCAGGTGGTAGACATTCAGGAGGTCGAGAGGGGGAGTCCTTGGATGACTGCAATAATATTATTTCATCTTTGACCAATGAAACCTGCTGTATAAACCAAACTAGCTGTGACAGCAAAAGTTTGTCAAACAGGCTTGGATACAACTGCAAGGTGCCGAGCAGGCCACGCAGGCCGTCAGAGGGTGGCATATCAATGTGGCTGCTGATGTGGCATATCAATGTGACTGCTGATGTGGCTGTGGTAGTAAGATACAAAGCTATGAATTTCTACCCCGCCGTCATTGGCAGACATCTCCTACGTCCGTTTCTCTTGTTGCCCGTGATTAGCCTCTGTCTAAATCGGGCCTTCTGCTTTCAGAGCAGTGCATGGCACTTAATCCTTACCTGGACATTACCACTGTTTCATTTCAGGCACTAGATCAGTACCCTCAATCAAAAATTACTATATATAGTTATATTACAGATCAGATCTGCCCCACTCCCTGACAAACCAACCGAGACCTGGCGGACTGCGTGGACTGTCCCATTTCCTGTACGTCCTCGCAATTTGCCACCTCAGACCCAACTGAGAAGAGTAAGTACACCTTATACACTTCTTTCACCTTAACCACCATCATCTCTGCTCACAACATGCTTCACAAGTGTAACTTCTCCAAGTCTTCATGGAGATTTGGCTTGCCCCTGATCTTCTACATTGCCTGCTACCTTTTGGTGGCTTCTACTGGCACTTTCTTAGACAAAATCACCTTACAAACCTTTGACATAAACCTCGAGCCCAACTTCTGGAATGAAATGATTGGAGGCACCATTTATAAAAGGCCTACCCTGTCTTGCTCAGACAGACTGAACAAGCAGAGAGACCCAGTTGAGATTGAGTAGAGCCTGGGTCATAAATGTCTCCAGCCACTTTGTGGCATGGTTACAGGGGCCATCTCTAAAAGCCCTGTCCTGTCTTCTGGCTCAGACAGACTAGACCAAAAGAGCTTCCCAGTTGAGAATGAGTGGAGCCTGGAATATAACTGCCTCTAGCCACTCTGTGGCATGGCCACAGAGGCCATCTCCAAATGCCCTGTCCTGTCTTCATGCTCAGACAGATTAAAACAGAAGAGCATCCCAGTCCAATATGAGTGGAGTCTGAGTGAACAAAGCTTCCAGCCACCTTGTGGCATGGCTTCAGAGGCCATCTCTCAAAATTCTGGCTTGATTACAGGCACCAGATATAATCTAATAAGTCTTGCACTGTCTGACCAAGCAGACAGTTTAAAAACTAGTAAACTTGTGATACTGTGTATAGCTCCAAGTCCCATATAATTAGTAAGCTATTATAATATCTAAGTTATTGTTATTTATGTTACAGCATACAGTGACCAACAAAAGTAGTGCACATAACTACAAAGAGGTGTTGAGTTTGCTCAATACCTTGCTAATGGCTAGTTCTACCGCATAACTTGTATATGTATCATATTACACTATACTAAGGCTATTTTTTGAGCTATATAAATTGCCCAATCATGCAGGCACCAGGAGGCTGTTGTTGCTTTTCTCAGAATCTGCTCCAATTTTGATCCATCTGTTTCTCCATAAATACTAGTGAGGAAGATGTAATTTTATTCATGAAAAATTTATACATGGTTAATGTGCTCCTGTTATTTTTATAGCTGACATGCTGTGCATCTCATGAAGTTCTAGGCTATGTTACACTAGTGGCTCGCATCCTTACCGTATAGTCATTGGGTATATCAAGAACAGCCAGACAAGCATATTGTTATTATACATTCTTATATTGTACTAGTATTACCTAAGTCATATACAGCAGTACAAGCTTGTACAAGCTTTCAGCATTATACTCCTAACTTCTGATTTATGCAGCACAGAGTAGCCAATATAGCTAGGCTTGTAATTCACTGATTAGGAGAGAGGGTGTACTGTAAAATTTATACATTAGTCTATGCATGGGACTACTATATATCATCAATAACAAAGATCAGTTATACCACTCCTTGCAGAGTTATGAATATTTCAAAAATGTGGCATATTTTGAGTAAAACAATAATAGTGCTACAGTATCTGCACAGTTTGGCAACTTGTATAGCTCAAATCATAGCCTTAATAGGGTACTATACAGTCTGTATATAACTCGTACCAGTAGTACTGGTCATTAGAAAGCTATCGAGTAAACTCAACACCCCTTTGTAGCCACGCGCGCTACTGTTGTCAGTCACTGTAACACATCAGCAGAATCGTAGTTAGCAATATCACTTGTATCTTTAACCAGATGACCTGAAAGTAACAATCCCTTATCTTGCTGACTTATTCTTCTCAGCCCCTATTTTTACTGCGAGCAGCTTCTCTATATATATCCCTCGCCCTTTGATCTCCGCCACTCACTTTGCCTTCGTCAATGTTGTCTCTGACACTCAACGACAATGTTCATCATCACTGGTCTCCATTTGCCCCACGCCCTGTTTGTCATCTCATCAGCAGTCTCCATTTGCTTTACGCCCTGTTTGTCATCTCCTCACTGCCTGTGGTGCCATTGCCTCTGCCACATCTACTTTGCTACGGACAGTGCCAACTCTACAAAATGCGACTGTGGCTGCCAGGACTCTTCCCTCACATCCTCTCTCATCATGTCTGCTGGCTCATGTGCTATCATTGCTGCCATGCTTAGCCTGGGTGGTGGCCGCTGTGCTCAAGGTGGTCAGTCTACAACTTACTACTGCTATTACAACACTGTGTTGCAGCCCACTAGAGTATCCAAGAAAGGTGTACTCGCAGAACTTTGTGTATACAGCCCAAAGGACAATGTGGTGCTTCCTGATGATACAGTCGTGTTTGCCTACACCCAGGTGTATATTCCTGTCAAAGATATTGTCCATTACCCCTTCTTCTTCACTCATGCTGACATGCAATAGGCCCCGCTCTTCTCAATGCCATCCAGATTTATTCCTTTCCTGGCAACCCTTCTGACAATGACAACAATAACAACCTCCCCGAGATCTTGCCTTGCCTTTTTGCTACCGGCATTGTCCGCTCTGTGCACGATGTCACTGCTATTGACAACAACAAATGTGTCATGCTGGAGATTTCAGATCACGTGCAAAATGGAAAGAAGGGTTTTACCTTTGAGTATGTTGTGCTTTTTGCTTCTCCTCTGAGCCTGTCTCATCATTATATAAGGGCCAAATTCACTGGTGCCACTTCCCAGTGGAATTGTGTTCCACTTCCTAGCTTGCAATTGAATGCACAGATTGTCAGTATTTTGTGCAAAGACTGCCATTCTGATGGCATAGTGACCATTGAGGCTGAATCACTCACAATCAATGCGCTCCCTGCCGCTGCACCCACTCAAGTGCCTCCATCCAAAAAGAGGAAGTACAATGCATACATTGCTTCTGGGTGAGTGACTTTAGTGTTTGTGGTATTGCTTTGTCTGATCCTACTCCTCAGGACCTCTCCATCGTCCCCCACTGCAAGCACTTCGTCACTTGCAGGCCCATCAGGTTCTTCTCAGTCAACATTACCTGAACCTGGATCCACTGCTGGCGAAGTGTCTCTGGCTGAGCAACAAGAGCCTGAACCTGGATCTACTGCTGGCAAAGTGTCTCTGGCTGAGCAACAAGAGCCTGTTGCAATGCTCCCTGGTGGTTCCATGGAAGACACAACTGCTTCCAGCACAAAGGCTGCTGGTGAAAGGAAGGCCAGACAGTAATTCTTCTATTTCTTGCCACATATATTTCCGTTATTGTCTGTCTGTGTATTCATATAGTAATATTAATGCCCTTGTTTCTGTCATGCTGTATGTGTGTTCAGCCACTGTGTGACTAATGAAAGCTGTTTTGCATTCGCCTTCTACCAGCATACACTCTCTACAGATGATGGCCATGCCTTCTTTGGAACTTGCCTGTTTGTGTACATATTGGGTACTGTTTGGCTGCACACGTTCTTGCTCATGCACTCCTCTTAACCACAACTTCTCCATTGACTATCACCTCATGTACATAACTACTGTTTTATTATGCCACTGTTTGTAGTCTATGTTATATCTTGCTTGCTGTTACACCCCCTATGTTGTGCTGCGCAAGCTCTCTGCAGCTTTTCTCAGTCTCTTTTGCCTTTGTCTCTGTCACACTGTTCACTTCCATGCTGACCCACCTTTGGCGTTGGCTATGTAGATGAAGCTGTCATCTCTGAGGTGAGTAATCATTTCACTTGCCTAATTGTCATACTGACATTCGGGACAGAGTTTCATGCCAGTGCTGCACACAACAGAAGCAAACTACTCTACAATAACTGGTCCTCAGTGAACGTCTTGTTGTCGATCATACACAGCCTTCTACCTTCACCGATACTGCTGTGCAAATGATACCTTGGGCTCATTTGCATGTGAGCCGTGCACCGCCTATCCCTTGGTCTGCTCGGACAAGGATGCTGCATTCATCACCAAATCCAAGGGGGAAAGCCCTCACCATTCTGATTGTCGACAGCTGACAGTGCGCAGTAAGCATTGTTTTTTACAGCATCCCAGATACCTGTAATTATGCTTATGCTAATTGGGTCTCAGGTCTTGATTGCAACAGGATGCTACGAATGTCTGCAATGCTATTAAGACATTGTTCTCAGCAATTTTTGTCCATGATCATCATCTCACTGGTTGAAAGGTGTGTGCATTAAAGTTGCTATACTTTTAGCAGGGTATTAATGCATTCTCTATAACTGCTTCTTATTAGCAATGTCAAGGACTTGGGATATCACTCGATTGTCTCCAGTTCAGCTATCTTGGGGGGGGGGGGTCATGGTCAACAAGTGCACTGCTGTCGCCATTGCAACATCCCGCTTCTCACAGGCAAAAAATCTGGCTTTTGTTGTGGTTCTAACAGCGCATATATAAACAATGTTTGCCCTCTTCCTCTTCTTCTGCACAAATTTGACGTATTCTTGAACAGCCCACAAATATCTGAGTTGAGTCACATTCTCAACCTTGTCTTTTTCTTCATGTTTATGGAAACTACTGCTCAGTTCCCTGATATGGGAGGTGATTACAGATTCATTGCTATTTAAGGCAAGGTCTACCACCAAGTTTGATCCAACCATGCAAACTTGGCTGTACGATGGATATTGTACAATGGGTTTTTGGCAGCGGAAGTGCCTCACAATGATGACCATACTCACCGTCTACCACCACCTTGGATACAAGCTATGCAGCTTGCCTTGCTGCAGTGTAATCCTTTCGCTCTGTATCTTCGGGTTCTAAGCCAAATTCCTCCTCAGCTCTGTTCCAACGCTCGTGTCATCATTGAAGACACAGGCGTAGCTCCCGAAATTGCTGCTTTCATGTCCTACAACAATACTGCTTGGGCAGAGGTTCGCTCACATTAACTTGTCATTACCCACACCGATGAAAGCAATCACACCATACCAACTGTGAGCCAACTGTGGGAACCACTCACTTACCCTCTGTTTTTTCTCTCCAGTACACTAGGGTGGGGAACAGTAGGCAATGAAGATCAGGTCCACCGTGGTGCCCCTCATCCTGCTGATGCTGCGCCTCCAATCCACGAGAGCACCACTCAGATCGGGTACTACCATGCTCTACTCCTTTGTAAAGAGTGTTATTCTTTGTTTGGCCACTTGAAAAATAAATATCTCATTGACATGTTCACATAAAACCTGGAGTGTCACCTGAAGTACATTTGTGACAACCAACACAGCATCATGACTGAGGATGCAGAGCTAATGAGTGTTGATGCTGTCGAATCAACCCAGAACATCTACCTTCCCTCCTCCTTCCTTGGCTTCAACTGCTGGGCATCTGAACAGATTGCAGATTCACTTGCAATTGCTGCACAATATGGCACACTGATGTTCTTCATCACTATGACGTGCAATCTACAATGGCCTGAAATCCAATCACAGCTTCAACTGGAACAGAGTTTCGCTCAAATTCCTCTCGTCATTATCTGTGTCTTTAAGCAAATGCTAAAGCAGTTTGAACAGCTTTTTCCAACTATGTTTCCCAATGCCGGGCATCTCGTGTACCTCATTCACTCTATTGAGTTTCAAAAGTGAGGCCTTCTCCATGCTCACATTCTCATTAAATTTTCTGCAGATTGCACATCTCCTGTGGCAATCAACGCTGTCATATCTGCAGAAATGCCCGATGACCCAAACGACACTCAGCTTGTACGCGATCACATGCTGCACCACCACTCTCCATATTGCTAGCAGGAAGTCAATGGTGTCCATTCCTGCCGATTCGAGTACCCTCATCCAGTGCGTCTGATAACTTTTATTGATCACACAGGTTGCATGTTTTATTGTTGCTGCCACGAGGCAGATAGCTTGGTTGTACCATACTGCCTTCTTATCCTCCACATTTTTGACTGTCACATAAACTTTGAGTGTGCAAACTTTTTGCACCTGTTTCAATACATCTTTAAGTACATACACAAAGGTAGCTGATCTATGCATACTAACATGTGCTATTACTGGCTATTCTCTACTTTTTCAGGTCCTGATCATACGCACTACATGATTAGGGCACCAGGAGAGCCAATTGATGAGATTGAGGAGCATTGGAGTGTAAGATATCTCTCTGCCAGCGAGGCTGCTTGGCGAATTCTTGACTACAACATCACTCGCAAACAACCTTCTGTTACGTCCTTACCTGTGCATCTTGAGGAACAAAACCTACACCGCCAATATCGATGACGGAATGACACACAGGATGACTCCCTGTCTCTTTTAGAATGCTACTTTCACCATCCATCTGAAAGCTTCCTTGACACACAGAACACCATTCACTGCTTTGACGACCTTTCTTACACTGAATACTACTCCGCTTTCTGTTTAGCACGTTATGATCCCACGAAAGCAGGTTATCTGAACTACTTTACAGAACATCATGCGCATCAGTCAACATCTGTTCGCATGCATGTTATTTTCCGTTCCTTCGCAGCTCCACACCTCGCACGCATCTGCTCTGTACAACCATCTGAAGGCAAAAGATTTTACCTTTGTGCACTACTCCAACACCGCCCAGCTCGCTGTTTTCGTGACATGCAAACAGTTGATGGTGGTGTACACGACTCCCACCAGCTGACAGCAGCAGCATTAGGCCTTTTTGCTAACAACAATGAGGCTGAGCTTGCATTGCTTGAAGTAATAGCTGCTCTGCGCACGCCACATCAACTGCATGTGCTGTTTGCGCACCTTCTCGTCAATGATTGCATTGCCACTCCACTTGTTCTTTGGGACACTCTGCAGGTACAGCTGTCATACAATCATATTCTATGACATGAAAACAATGAGGAGTTGGGCATGAATCATGCTCTTTACGAGGTGTCAACTTACCTCGAGGAACATGGTAAATCACTACAAGACTACGGCTTGCCAGAGCCCACCGTATACTCAGCAGAAGTTGAACACAAATTGGAACACTGGCTATGCTTAACACAGAACAGCAGCATATCTTCGACACCATTGTGCAAGCTGCGCTGTCCAAAACTCCTCTGCTTGCCTTCATCAATGGTAAAGCAGGACAAGGTAAAACTTTCCTTGTCAACACAATCTATGACTACCTGCAAGGCCATGGTAACATTGTACTCCCAACCACAACATCAGGATACGCTGCTCAATTGTATCCTGGAGGACGTACCACACATTCAACTTTTAAGGTGCATTGTTAACTTTGCTTTCTGTTCATTGCATGTTGTACTAACTGTAGTTAACAGGTTCCTGTCAACAACAAGAACGAGCTGCTTAAGTCTCCAATTACTACTCAATCATTGCGAGGTGACCTCATCAACCAAGTGCGAGCAATTATGTGGGATGAGGCTCCGATGGCAAACAAGGCAGTTCTTGCCTGCATGGAAGAAGTGCTGCGAACAGTCTCAAAATGCCCCAAACTACCTTTCAGCGGAAAAGTGTTTGTGACTTCTGGTGGATTTGCCCTGTAATTTGTGGTGGGCAAAAAACAGACGTTGTGCAAGCATCTATAAAGACCTCCAATTTATGGCCAGCTTTCTCTATCTTCTGGCTGATGACACCAATATGCAACACTGAGGATCCCAAGTTTGCAGACTTTGTGGATACGATTGGCAATAGAGCTGGCTCCAATGTTGCGCTTGACATGTTGGGCAAAGTGCATTCGGAAAACAAACTGATAGACTTTGTCTTCCCTGTTAACGTGCTCTCTCAACCCCACGTGTGCTGCTGCCAGTTGATCCTCACTCCAACCAATGCCCAGGTAGACATGTACAATGCATCCATAGTTGACCGCATCAAAGGCAAACAATGGACCTACCTTGTGAGCAACTCACTGAAAGAGGCAATGGAAGTGCAGCTACCCATGCCTGATGGTAACAGCCTCCTTGATTATGCTGTGAGGCATACACCTCCCGGTTTACCACTGCATACTTTGGTCATCAAGACCAATGCCATCTACCATTTGCTACGCAGCCTCTTCCTTGACCGAGGGCTTGTGAAAAATGTCCATGTCCTGGTCACTGCCATGGGCCATTGATCATTGGCACATTGGGTGGTCAAATATAATGCATTATAATGCACTGTCGGGCATTTATAATGCGTTATAATGCGATTTTTAGTGATTTTTGAGTTTATAATGCAAGATAACAGACCAGATCGCATTATATTGCATTTTAATGCAATATAATCTCCATCCCTTTTTGCCAATGATTGATTACTGTCCACATTCTACGCTCTTCTGCTGGTCAACACGTCGATGATGAGGAATTACTCATTCCACGGATCACTTTCACTCACGAACTGCGGTCAGGCTACACTCTACTCCATTGCCAGTTTCCTCTCGCCGCTGCATACACCACGACCTTCAACAGCTGTCAGGGACTGACGTTGGATCGAGTAGGAGTTGACCTCACACAGCCTGTGTTCTCACATGGGCAACTGTATACCGCTCTGTCTCGTATTTGTCATCACTCTCACGCTCGAGTGAGACTTCCCCCTGATGAACGGACTACCGTGAATGTCACATATCCTGAAGTTCTACTATAGTTGTGTTTAAATATCGTTGTAGACATGTAACGTACATAGTGACAAGAGGCAACCGAGACCTGCAATCACGAGGACAGCTACCACGGAGCGAAGCGAAGTGATCTCTTGTTAGCGTTATGTAACACAACGCAATCCCGGTAGCACGGCTGTCTTCATGTCTTCATTCAATTGTGCAACACGTATGTCTCTATAGAAGACCACAATCAAAAATACAATGCGAGTCATGCGCCATAATGTTCGGCTCCGGCTACTCAGGCATAACCCTAGCGCACGGACACATCGGGACAGCACACATTAATGTTACATGACCATGCCGACCTTCAGCTTGTCTCCTCCGGCGACCTCCTGCTTCTTCGCAACCAGCGCCTCCACGTCCCACCGAGCGTCCATGAACCACCCGGCAAACCAGTCGCGGCGTTCGCGGACGAGTCACACGATCGTGTGCGCGGCAAGCCTGGGGGTGTCGACGTCCGGCATGCTCAGAGACATGTTGGACTTGACGGACCGAGGACGCGAGGACGCCTTGAGCGCCGTACTCGACGTTGATGAACTCGGTGAAGCGCAGCAGCGCGGGCTTCGACGAACGCCAAGATGGTCAGATCCCGAGGCAAGGGTGAGAGCGGCACGACACGAGCTCACCAAATACGCAGAGTACTACGGGCTGAAGGTGTGTGTGCGCCGGTGTTGGAGACGTTCACGATCGTCCTGTCGCCGCCACGCTAGACGAGCAGCAGCAGAAAGGCGCGCATGACGCTGTACGTCCCGCGTACGTTGGTGCTCCAGGCCATCTACTATCCCCTAGGGTCGCTGTCCGCGATGCGGCCGCAGCGCTCGAGGTAGCCCGCATTGTGAACGACGTCGATGCGCCCGAACGTCGCCTCGATGTGCGCGGCCGCGGCCGCGACCTGGTCGGTGTTGGTGACGTCCGCCGCGATGGGGAGCACCTCGAGCGGATGGCTGCGATGCTGGCCGGCGACGTACTGGTGCTTGACGGCGTCCAGGTTCGAGCGCGCGAGCAGGACAAGGCCCATCGTGCCCGCTTGTGCCACCGCGAGGGAGATCGCGCGGCCGATGCCCTTGGAGGCACCGGTGACAAGAATGACCTGACCGCTCAGATCTGCGTTCTGAAGGTCCACGGCGGTGTAGATCGTGTCTGTCGGCAGGGATTAGCCCGGCACCTAGAACCTCGGCGTCAGCTCAAGCCAGAATATGCTGACTTGTACCAGCTGACCGTTATATTCAACCATTTCTGCGTCGAATTATTCTGAAGCTGAGACAGCCGTCGCATATATGCTGTGCTCCAGCATCTGGGTTGGAGTGTACGCCCTGCGGTACTGCTCATCCTCCCGCCGCTCGATACTGCCCCCCATCCATGTGCGTCCCAAGCGTGAACTGAGACTGTCCCGAGGGCTGGATGCGCAGGCAATCAAAGTACGATATCGGGGTGTGAAGAGAGATGAGGCGTCGTCGGGGACGCGTGAAAGAGGGAGGCGTCGTAAGATTCGTGCGTCTTGATGACATATGGGCGAGAGCGCGCCTGGATCTGGGCAAGGCTTCCGTAGAGTTTGTAGAACACGATGCTTGCTGCCGGCGACCCTACATGCACGGTACGTTTGCATTAGCATGCCGTAGGACGTAAAACGACAAGCCATGCACCTCGGATCTTGGTCTCGCTCCCAGTGATATATTCGCGCGTGCTTCTGCTTCCGAGATAGCACTACGGATGGCGGCACATCCAGACGACTTTACAGCTTCGATTTTGGATTCAGGGAGTACTGTGCTGAGCGACGGGTAAGGAATCTCGGGCATGCTCTGAGGCTGATCAGCATCGCGGCTCGTAGGATATAGCGACGGAACGGACCTGGCTCCTGCGACCTATCACGTTCCCGGTGATATCTTCCAACTCATTTAGCCTCCAGCTCTCAACAAGGCCATTGGTCCACAGTCGTTGCTTGAGGCATGCGAATCGTTCAGGGAATGAAGGAGATTCGTGGGAGTAAGCTGAGTATGTCTTCTATTGTGTCTTCGCTGCTCTTGTTCTGAATAGCCGCGCCAGTCGACGCCGTTCTGCGGTGCTGAGATGCCTCCGAGGCCAGGTATCTGCGCAAGACAGATGGAGCTCCACGGCGAAGGAATATGTCTGCGCGTTGGTCTGTACACAGGAGCAGGGGTAGAAGCGAGAGTCGCCATCGCCGTCGAGCCTAGAAACTGTATTTGATGCTGGTCAAGGTCGCGTCTGGCCTGGCTGTCCCACGCAAGGCAGATGCGCGCCGCAGAACTGACCTGCTAACCTCGCGCTGTTGCAATCACGTCACTATATCATCATACAGTCCTCCCGAGCCGCGCTTCAGGCTTCCCGCACGCAGAAGGAGAGCTTGGCAATGCAAGGTCGGCTTGTGCGTTCAACGCATTTTCTGCCAATGAGACTGATTTACGTTGGACGAATGCCGATGAAGAGGCTGGGTGTGCATATAAAAGAGTCTCCGGACAGCGATGAGGGTTAGGTCAAAGAGTTCTGGGAATGCCGCTCAAACGGACGCGACAAGGACCCATTCCGATGATACGCCGGGCGCGCCGCAATTCCGAACTTGACACCAGCTTTATAAAAGTATACGTCCATAAGTACGACTACGCGTAGGTGGACTCCACTGATCAAGCTGCTATTAATTGTAGTACGGCCGCAATAGAGCTTGCACAACTGTAGGAGCGAAAACCTACAGCCGGTGGGCCAAGCGTTCCCGCAGCCGCTCTCGAGAAGGCCAGAGAGCAGACAGCTGAAGGACGACCGGGCCAGGTGGCATGTTGCAAAGCGTCAGAAACAAACGCAAGTGCCGTCAGCTTCGTGGCACTCGGGATGATTTGCCGACATGAACGCCCGGCTGACTCGGGTTTCAAGAGCACCTTCCACCGCTCTGCTATAAGGTCGACCACATGCAGTGGTCCCTCATGCGCGCATGCACCGCAGAGCCACCCCGCTGCACCAAGAGTCCGCGGCTCGCGTACTTTCTAAACTTCACGACGCCACCGACGTAGGCAGAATAATACCGCGGGATCTCGCGCGGGCCACGGGGCCTATTCAAACATATGGACTGTCAGATCTCAGCTACGACGTCGAGTTTTTGCCCATTACATTCAGCAAGATCACAGTGACAGTTCAGTTATTCCCGTTCCCAGGACGCTCGACCCTCATTGCATACCGAGTGCTAAGTGAGAGTACCGAAATTTCGAATGCTTGTTGAGATTGCGCGCGTACGGTAGCTACGAGGGCGGCAGTGGGAAGAGGTAATTCTTTGGATAACATCTCTTATTCTGCGTCTGCTTGAGGCTGAACAAGGAGCAGGACGACAGTGACGACAGTTTCAACGAAGAAGAGCAAGCGAGAAGACGACAGGAGCCAGCTCACTGCCCAATGGCGATGGCGGCCCCGGCGATATTGGTCTGATAGACCAGCAAGTAATTGTTCGTGCGCTGACCTGCAGCCAGTCCTGACTCCATCTTGTGCCTTAGGTGCCCCCCGAAATCGCCGGCAAGCCGTCTCTCCTGCTCTCGGAGTCCCTCGCCACCGCGGTCGCTTGCTCGCTACTCAGGCAGCGTCCAACGCACACGCACTGCCCACCGGACACCGATATCTCAGGTAAAGGAACCGCACGCTGCATCTGGTCTCGACATGCTACCTGACAAGTACTGCCTGCGTGCGGATGAGACTCGGCATACACTTGACTCGGTTCCGAGCTCTACTTTGCTGGCGGAAACCATACCACGGAAGGTGAGTATGCTCTTGTAGTACCGTTCAGCGTACACTCTGACGCCCCACAAATACAGACATTCTCCCTCTGTCCCGATCCCGGAAATTCTCGCCGTGTATTTCGCGGCTGCTTTCCCTGTATTGCCAAGGTAATGAGCTCGCCGGCCGAACTTTTGTCAGCTAGACCCAGATAACAGAATGTGAGCATTTACTTCGCGCTGGTGGTCCGGATGGAGCTGATTCAGTTCGGCGGCCTAGACACGGGAACTTATTAAGTTACACCGGACTAGCCACCCAGAAGCGCCCATGAGCGGCTAAGACACGCTGAAGAATTTCTGAAAAGCCCAAAAAATGGCATAAGCGGGAATCGAACCTGAGACCTAGAAGTAACCTCAACGCGCCACGCCACTGGGGCATAAGCTCTTGAAAGTAGAGAAACGGAATTATGATACATTACCATTTTTTCACCTTGTCTTAGCTGCTCAAGTCTTATGTTCTACCACCCATACACTATTTTCCTGATATAAGGCATTTACTGGTGAATTACCCCGCATAGTGTTTCGTTAGCTAAGACCACGGCACGGCTAAGACACCGGCGCGGCTCAGACGTTGGCGTGGCTCAGACGTTACCGTGGCTCAGACACTGGCGTGGCTCAGACGTTACCGTGGCTCAGACATTGGCGTGGCTCAGACGTTACCGTGGCTGGCCGTGGCTAAGACATACCATGTACAATACTACAACCTTACCGTAATTACAATAATTTCC